TAATGCAAAAAATGCAAGAATGCTCAAAGAGCAAGGGTGCTCGAAGAGCATGGTAAATACCATAAAGTGCATATATGCAACGAAGAATAAGACAGTGTGGCTAAAAATAGCGGGTAAAGACCCAAGTAAAATTGCCAAAAGCAAAAGTACAAAGTAATACTCAGAGAGTAAGGGTACACCCAAGTAAAATTGCCAGAAGCAAAAGTACAAGTAAGACTCAGAGAGTAGTGGTATAAACTCATGAAGTGCAAGTAGGATGGACGGGGGCGTGGGAGCACCATGTAGAAACTTGCACAAACCATGACGCCACTCGTACGGTCGATCCTTGAGCAGCGCCGCTGGCCAGACGGGACCGCCGACTTCAAAACGGCACGAGCAGACATAGAGTGCACAAGTTGCCACATAGTCGAGGGCGAGAAAGAAAGCGGTGAATGAAAAGTTTGAAAAAGGCCAAAGCAAGAACGGCCAAAGTGCCCCTACTTGACAAGTCAGTACTTCACTCTCTGAGTAAGGGTCTACTAGTAGTGTACCGGAAAGTACTTACTGTACTCGAGTACTAGTACCGGTACAGTCCGAAGTCGAGGTCATTGTTTCTGAGCTATTAGTATGCGACAAACAAAGACCTGATATATTTTAAAGTTGGACTTCTTCGTCTCGCCGGATGCCATGAAGGGTGTCCGAGTCGACGGAACTGTACATCAACTGAGGTCGCTTGGTGGATTCACCGTCCATTATTCAATCGTTCAAATTATCACCACATTCGCCGTTGTTGCCTTTTGGTGGTGGATTGTGTGCTCCTCTAGATTGATGGTCGACAGCTTGCTAGGAGTCAGTGAGCACATCAGCTATTTCTATGCATAGGATATAAAACGCGTTTATTAACAATGTAAATGCGGACTTACAATCTCTGTCTCATGATAAGTGTTCATTTTTGCAAAATCAAATTTCCAAGAAAGAATGTTCATTTTCATACCGGTACGTGTATTTTAACTGCTACAAATCCAGCAATTGAACTAGGCCCAAAGAAGCGACAATGTTGTCGTCAACATCCGTGTCGTGGCCTATATTCAGTGCCTTAATTAGGGGGAGTCAATATAGAAACCAAACTGCTTTTCGTTTTGAAAACTGCTTTTCGCCTTTTGCTTTTCGTCGCGAAAAGCAAAAGCACCTATCGAGTAGCTTTTCAAAAACGAAAAGTGAAAAGCAGAATGTAAGACAATCAGCGTGAAGATAGTGATAGCCAATCAAGATGCACATAACTACTGGTCGTTTGCAAAGTCCAAAACACAGCAATGGAGAGGTCGAAGCGCGCCGCAACCTCACGGTCGGGGCGTATGGCGATGCTCGAGTTTCTGCGCATACCCGAGAACTTTGCGCTGCTGACTGGGCAGGCCACCGAAGGCAAACCAATGAAAGGAGGTCAAAAGCTGACTCGGTCACATGGCCTGGCAAGGCTAGTGGAGTACGTAAACGCGGTTGTGCCAGCTGTGCGTCCGTGGACGACAAAGGATGCCAAATTAAGGTATATGGTTGAGTTGATTGAGGGGAACAATGTTGAAAGACATAGTTCCCCTCAATCAACTCAACCGTATATGCAAATGTAGTCTGACAAACTCGCCAACAGCCATGAAGGGCAGAATCGAAAGTTGCTCTAAGGAGCGTGGAATCGACCAACGTGAAAACATGTATCGCGAACATAGAATAGTGTATCGCAGTCGAAGTAGCACATCAATGTCTTTCTTAGCCGCATGTGAAGCAGAAGTATTGCATGTTGCAATTGTCCGTACCATGCTGTCCAAGTCGGCAAGGACGGCCGCGCGCTCTGAGAGCTGTGGCATTTTTGCCAATATACGGATACGGATGGCACATGCACAAGAGATCGTTGGCCTATATTAACTCTCCTCAGCTTTTCGTTTTGAGCAATTAAACTACGGTTGAATAAAATTTCCTTTTCAAAGTGAACGAAAAGCAAAACCAGAAATCCTATATTGACTCCCCCTATTGAGTGCAAATTTCACTCAACTCCATGCTCTCAAGAACTTCTTCAACCTCTGAAACTTTAAGATTGGAGCTAAATTCGTGCTTTACCGAACCTAACTGGTGGAAGCTGGAGTGCCAAAAGGGGAGGTCGCTTGTGGCGAATGTAGTGGGTCAATACGAGGGCAAGAATTGATCGTTCACGTCTTCACAAAGTCGGGATTCTTCGTCTCGCCGGATGGATGTCAAGTGTGTCATGTCCATGCACTCTGGAACCAACTTTGCGCGACGACGTTGCAAATCGGGTTGGCTCAGGAGGTGTACGTCGTACGCACGACTATGAGCTCGTGCCACGTATACTGCATTCGCAGCAGGTGGCAACTGCGAGTACTGACGAGGTGTACTCTCATCCCCTGAACCAATAAATGTGGCGCGCTCAGCTGTACATAGTCTCGGTTCATTTCTACCCCGCAACCAGTATGGTGATTGTGAACGACATTTATTCTACGTATACTAGTATGCTAACCCTCGACCTTTTTTACTCATAAACTCTTACTGTACATTCCACTAAGAGCATCTCCACTCGTCAGACTTAAAGGTCTGATTTATACGGATAACCCTTAGATAGGACCAATTTTGGACTTATACTCCCACCAGTTGGTTTTATCGGGGTCTTAATAAGTCCGTCCATACATAAGTTCAGCCCCGAAAATCCCTATCATAGGACTTTTTCGTCAAGATATCACCCTCCAGACCTATGCTATCCGGAAGAGTTATATAATCTAAAATAATATACAAAAGTACTACTCAAATAGTCAAATACAGTATTGTGTATTCAACACTAAATTGGACTGGGGAGGCGAATCGAATAGCCTAAACAAAGAGATTATGAATGTCTTAAGCCAATCACATCACTCCATTCCAGAGATTTTACCAGTCTCGTGCCCTGTCGCTTCGGATTGGGTAAAATCAGTCGGGGAAAACATGGAAAATACATTCGAAATCGCTTTGAAGTTTCGACTGCGAAGTCCAAAGTTCAGTGAAAAGCACAATACTACATGCAATCTTTATAATAATTCCCATTCAATTGGCCAACGAAGGCACACCTTGATGGAGGAGAGCGCCCGCGCACCGTTCGTACGGCGAGGCGCTGCTCAACTGCTTCCGCGGCGGCGCGTGTTCCGCCGTCCTCGACATCACGTTGTTCGTGGCGGGTGTGAACATTCAACACATGCTGCTGCATGCCGCGTTAACGCCCGTCATGAGTGCCACGGAAATCCCCATGCTCATGGTCGGGTTTGTCTCGTCGGTCGTGGCGCTGTGCAATTGGGCGGGGCATCTACACCAAGGCGCCGATCTCGTCGGCAAGGTCGAGCAGGGCATCCCCAAAGACGACTCGCGCAACCCGTCGGTGATTGCCGACTTGGTTGGGACATGGTCGTCGTCTGCGTCGGGATGGATGGTCGTCGTCTGCGTCGGGATGCAGCGCTGACGTGATTGTTTGAGAGCGTCGCGGCCGAGATCACCGGCGCCACTTCCTTCGACAAGGAAGGCGTGATCGAGTCCCTCGTGTAGTTTGTGTCCTCCATCGGCATCTTGTGCGTGACTGAGCCCGGACCAACCGAGTCGGACCCGATGACCACGCTCCATCGCAGGTACTCGATCACTTTCTTGTTGGTGCTGGCGGGGTTAGACCTGTCCACGCGGTGGCTGCTTTTCGCGTCTGCCGTGCCCGGCGCGTGGTTGCACTTTTCCCTCAACACTGGTGACCTAGTTTTCTCTCTTATGCCAGTGGCATCACGACAATATTGGCAGTACGCTTAATTTCTACCAGTATACTGTAATGAAACTCCACGTAGCAGTAGGTAATGCAAAAGCTCACGACTTTCGCGTCATCGTAGGCTCGTATTCGTATTACTACTAGCGCACCCCCTATGCTATAAATGTTAACGAGTTCGGTCTATAATGGAATGCGACGGGTCGCGGAAGCGGTTAGTTGATGTAAATGCACTCATTATTATCACGTTCATAGTCCCTGTTCGTCCCATGCATATAAGTCTGACGGGTGGGGAAAATGAAACTTATCGCTAGAATCAGCATAAGTCTTTCATTTATCCGAACATTATCCGTATAACGCCTGGTCAAAAGTCCCAACCGGTGGAGATGCTCTAACTCTTCTATTTTCCATACGAATATTGCGGATGCGGTGGGTCTTTCGACCTAAGATAATCGATTCAGCGGTCATGTTGTTGCCGCGGTAGATGTTGTCGCAGTCGTACTGTACAGAGAACCGAATACGAACTGGCGCAGTGTGGCACGATGGAAAAACTATATGAGTGAAACAGATGGGAAAAATATATTAGAAATTCGTACTTCAACCACTTCAAGCACTTCCTCATTGGTTGCATTTTAGCCACTTACGGGTACTGTATACCTCCGCGATTAAATCGTGATGATTAGGGTAAGCAGGCCAAATGCTAGATGACCTTTTCTGATGTAGCGCTTTGAGTGTTAGAGCGTTCATGCGGAGAACGAGTCGTACAGTATCTAGCGGACACAGTACCGGCGATGCAGTTGCAGTGCAATTAGTTGTAAAAATGGGATGACAGTTACCCCATCGTCGAAGCGTGCTGCACGAATTTTGAATTGGCCAATACAATTAAATTATCTATTTTTGAATTGGCCAATCGAAGCGTATGATAGAGGTGATGATAGAGGTGATTAATGATTGGTCAAAAATGATTGCTTTCAGTGTTGCACCAAATTTAATCAAATATCCTTGGTGACACACTGCGCCAGTTCCTACTTGGTGTACTTTTCTACTTGAAGTCGTATATGAAGCTCCACTCCTGAGTTAGAATAATGTAAAGTAGATCGAGAATCTACGGTAATTTGTCCAACACTGCACTGGTATTCATTCACTGTCAGCAGCTAATAAACCTTCAATTGTACTTCCATGACGTTCATCAGACATACTACCCCCTCTGGTTGGACCTGTCCAATGACGAACATATTTATGATTCCAGTTGGGCGTGTACAGAAATAGCCAATCACCATGCGTTAACTTATTTCATCCAATGAAATATAAGTCCTGTGATTATGGTTACTGGTTTTGATCAGATTCCACTGACATTTTCATAGGTACTGACAGTGAAGCAAGGTATAGGCATACTACCGGTACTACTACTCTGGAAGAAAATACAGTGTATAAGGAAGTCTCTATATAATGGTGCATAGTTTTTTCATAAATTGTCCAAACTGGATGGATTCGATTTCGATAGACCAATCAAACCACGACGAATCCAACGCGACTATCCATTGGTCAGTAAAAACAGAAGGAAAAGAGTTAGGGTGGATTGAAGATGCCTTGCTATGTACTGTACTTCAGCCCATATTAAAATATCTGATTATCACCCACTTCGAAAGTAGGATATCTGCATGGATTAAATCTTTATACTTTATCCCATATTAATAGTACGCGTTAAGCTTAATACTGTAGTCCGTCTTCCATGAGACTGGAGTACTACCGGTACTGTATTACTAGCTTCCCAAGTACTACTTCCTACTGTAGTACTACTGTACCTGACATACTACTCCCGCTTCAGTACACCTACGATTTCTCCGGTTGGACCTGTCCAATGAACATACTTAAGTATTTATGGTTCCGGTTGGGCGTGTACAGAAATAGCCAATCACCATGCGTTAAAATATTTCATCCAATGAAATATAAGTCCTGTGATTGATTTAGACCAATGCACATCCCTAAATAGTTTTCACGGTACCACTTGAAGCTGTACCGGTTTTGATCAGATTTCACTGACATTTTCATAGGTACTGAAGCGAGCGATGATGCTCAGCAGTGGGAGTTGCCCTTACAAGCAGCGTTGCGCTTGGCAATCGAGATAAAATACGTACATGGACTGCGGCGGATCCACGCCGTCGAATCCTATGCAATGTAAGATCGGCATCTGTTTAGGATTCTATGGGGAGACGACGTGGATCAAAACAGAGACGTCGTTTCTTAGTACTGTGTGCGTTAAGCTACGTTGAGCGCCTAGTTATCCCAGACATCCGGTACAACATCAATGCTGTGTCCGACGCCAACGCGCTGCTGGCCTTTCGCTTCGACGTCATGGGAACCAAGAAGTTGGGCTAACGTTACCTACTTGGACTCCCGGCTGTGGTGATTACTACTCAACGCTACCGTGCTTCCTGAGACGAAGCGATATGTATTCTGCTCGGCTGTCTGGCATTTCCAACTCGGTTCCGCACCATGAGGCAGACGTTTGGGCGTTCACAGGCTGCTTTGTGCGCAATTCTTGTCCAATGTAATTGGAAGAAGAATGACACCTTCCTTGTCGTTGAAGACGCGGCGGCGCCGAGGCGTCTCCATGCCAATCAAGAACTGCACCACCCGCCACTCAAACCTGACGTGTCAAGTTTGGTAGGAGAGTCGTGCAGTTCTTGATTGGCTCCAATCATATGCAATATCACGGAGCAGACTGGACTGCCAGTCGGTGAGATCTGCACTTTTCGCGGAATGGCAATCAGATTTAAGAGGACGCGTTCGAGTTCTATATGAGGTTTGACAGGTCGACTTCCGGTGTTGGCAGAAAAGTGGAACGCGAACGCCAACGGACACTTGCAAAACCTCTCTAATGAGCTCAAGGCATCGTACTCCTCTGCGAGGCATACTGTAGTTCTCAAACCGGTCCAAATTCCCAACTTACAACACTGCCTACACAGGTGACCAAAATAACCACAAATGGATACTGTTATCGGCCGAGCCTCTGTTCGACTTCCCGTGCCTGAGTGTTGGTCACGAACGACATTTGACGAGTGTGACATATGACCTGGATCGCAGCGGCATATGTTCCGAGCTGATGGTACACTGTACGATGCTTGACTGGTAGAGAGTAGTGAAGTGATAGGATGGAACTGACTGATGGACTGGATAATGAAGTTACTTTTGGATTTGTCATCGAGGTCACCGTTGTGAACACTGTAGTCGTCGGTTGCGAACACCGGCGCAAGACAACAAAGAATTCTTTAGCTGTCTTACAGACACGCTAGCGACTGAACGCATCGAGTTTCCCGGAACAGGACACGAGCATGCCTTGAACGTGGAGCTACCTGGTAGCGACCACGGGGACTCTATCCGAGCTCGATCCTGGTCGGATTGCTCGACGAGTCCTGCGGCCCGTGCACCGTGGGTGGACCGCTTTGAAGACCGTGGAAGGCCCGGACCAGTCCGGACCAGTGCGACTGTGCGGCGGCTGTTCCGGTCACCACAAGGAAGGCGACAACCGATGGCGGTTGATGAGGCCTGGGGTTACGGGAGACCGGTGACGTTCCCGGGTTTGGCGGTACATCCGGGACGGCGCCCGGACCTACGCTGGACAAAGAAGTTGTGGATATGGGACAGAACGACGTGCACCTGCACAACGCCCCGGCCCTCCCGAAGAACCCGACGTTCAAGGGATCCACCAAGGAAGAACGACGCGTTTTTATGGCCGCGTACAATCTGTATATCAGCCAGACGAATGCGCTGACTGCCAACGGGGTCCGACCATTCATAATGCCCGTGAAGGCGTGTATCGAGCCTGTGACGAAGAAACGTATTGCCGAATGGGCCATGGGAAAGGATCCCGATGACGTGTCCGAGGGCGAATGGATTGCGTGGTTCAAGCAAGGTTTCGACGTCGATCTCCGAGCCCTGGACACCCTGAAGAAGCGGATCAAATCTGCTGTTGTTTTTGATATGTCGGTCCCGGACCCGGATTCCCGGATCGGACGTATGCTGCATGGTTTGGCTGCGGCTATCCGTCGGGACCGCCAGGAGTAGGTGATCCAGGAAGAGAGCCAGGCGATCGTGAAGATCATCACGGACGACGTCAAGCCTGCGTCATTACACCGTGCCGTTACCGAGCAGATGGCGTTGACGCGAAAACAAGCCTTTGAAGAAGGATGTGTACCGTTTTGTGCGCTGGTTGCGGGAATATGCGATCGGTCACGAGCGTTTTGTGGGTTACGAAGAAGAGCTGAAGCCTGAGCTCCCGGCTATTGTGGACGGTGTTCTCGCCGTGCAGGCATCACTCTTGGACTCAGGAGCTGATTTGTCGGTGGCCTCCGGAGGCCTGGTTTCTGCGCTGTTGGCTGCGGGAGCATCTCCGGAGATTACGGTCATGGGTCCGATGGAACTCCGACCGTACGGGGCGGATAGCCAGGTGATTACTGTGACGAAACAAGTTCGCCTGGGCAGCCTGGAATTCAAGACCGCGTGCGGGCCGCTGATGTTGCGAGGGCTCCGGGTCTGGGTCGATGAGACCGTAGCACCC